CCTTCCATCCATCCCTCCCTTCTTTCTCCTTCTATTTCCTTCCACCCTCCCTTCTTTTTAAAAAAAACTTCTGCAGGCATTCTTTTGCATGCCATATGCAACCAGAGAATTAACCATCACAAAATTACCACGTCTGGAGGGGAAGTAGATTCCGCAGCTGTAAAAGACTGCCGCCAGGAAAGTCTGCCAACAAATATTTTGGCGTAGAATGAACAAAAGATTCTGCATCTCAGAGAGGAACACCTAAAATGGAGTCAGCGAGACCGCTGGAATGTATTTTCACCCCATGTTGTTTGTACTTTTGCTGTACTTTGGAATTTTAGGGATATCTCAAATCGTCTTCTGCAAAATTTGAAGGGCATCTTGTTCTGGCTGAAATTGAAAGTATTCACATACTTTCCTGGTATGTGAATGCGTAAAGTTTCATCAAAGTAATCTAGCCACGATGTAAAAGCTTTGCTGCCAAGTTGGAAAGAAGTTACCAGCTCCTAGTTTTTATAGCCCTGATCTTTTTGCAGCCCAGAAATTCAGTGTGAAAACTGATGGACAACAGCGGGAAGAAGTTTGGGCCTACCTCTCCTGCTCTGAGAAGGAATCAACGCTCTGGTGGTTCTTAACCGGTACCCTCCAGGAACTGAGGGCATTTTAAAACTGCATTACAAAGACTCAATGCAATGGTTCTCCCTGCTTTTCTGGTGGGAAGATAGGAAGGACTGCAGTGTGTCCACTGGATGGCGGTGTTGATAAGTGCATTCTTTAATTTTCTCCTGGGAGAAAAAGATGGAATAGGTTGTTGCAAGGCCTTATAGCATCTATTCTTGTTGGCACAAAGAGACGAGAATAAAACCCATTTCTTTCTCTGCAGCATCTCGATCTGACTTTATATATTCCCTATGCACCCCATTACAAGCCAATCCTATTGAAAAAAAATAAGAAGAAAAGACTACATTTTGAAGGTAAAAGTTTCATCTCACACTGGTCCTTAGCAATGATTTCCAGTTCAAACAGCCAGTTTCCCCCACTGCTGTCAAGACAGAGGCTGGTCGGTTTCCTCCTGGCATTGGACATCGTGATGAAAGTATTTTCAGTGCCTGTTTGGCCACGCACCAAGTTTAAGTGGCTTGGAGGAATTTTCCATTTCAATTCTTCCTCCTTGGTTTTTCCTCTTTTCTCCGTTATCCCTCTGCAGGAACGCACAGGGAGTCTCTGCCCCACGATGCATACAGTTTAAATTCAGCCTAGGGAGGGAGATATATTTGAGATCGTTGAGTATTTGGGAGCACAGTGACATAAATGCTGGTGAAAATTTACAGACTCCAAATTAGTTGGACCTTGAGTTGGGTTCTGTCCCCCAAAAGGAAATGTCTGTCTATCTTTATGGAATAGACTGGATTTAGAAGGTTGTCCTCATTACCTTATTTCTTTCTAAGGGGTCAAACAGCAGCTTTCCTTGAAGAACCATCCAGTTTTCATCCTGAGACCCTCCATGGAGCCTGAATCATCATCAGGCCCAGCCAGCATGACTGCCAGCTGGGACTGTGGAATTACACTCCAAACCATTGTTTGCTTTAACATCTGCAGTAGGGGCGTCTGCAGGGGTGGTCGGAAAAGTCAAGATGGTGGCTATAATGGGGCGACTGAAGCTCTGCCCCTTTTTAGAGGCATTGCATGCCATCATGACTTTTGCGTGCCCCACCCACTGACGCCCCTGATGTGCAAGATCCAGAAAAAGATCCAGTGGCCACAGATAGGAAGATGAGCGATCCATTGAAGGCAAGAGTTAGCTATGCAGGTCCTTAACCCAGGAGTCAGCTAGCTTCCTGGGTTTCTATCTTCCTGTTTAATAAATGCACTCCATTAAGTGGATCATTGCCTCTCTTCCAAGTAATTTCCTGAGTATTTTTAAATGTGAAAATGTCATTTTTATCGTCTTTTCCTTTTAGATTTGCCCTTAAGCCTAAATATTATTGTCCTTGTGATATAACTGTAAAAAAAATATAAAAATCACTTAGCTCCACGTCATAAAAAATACTGTCTTTTTAAAAAGCGTATCTGTGAGATCAGAAATATGTTCTCTGATTGCATATGTTCTGTATGCAGCTGTTGGTCTTAATTCCCAGCGAAGATGCAGTGATTTGTTGGTTGAAATTTGCAAGTCTCTTAATTTTCCCCAATCCCAGTTGTTGCTTCATAGATTGGTTGCAAGGATTTTTACTGAGAAACAACAGCAAAACGTCCTGCTCTATTTACTTTGGGGGAGGGGGGCAGTTGGTTTTCTAATTTCTTCTCTGAAAAAATCTGGCTCAGTAATCAAAGCATCTCTCAGAGCCAAATCAAATAAATCTTGACTTCTTTCATTAGCCTCTCTTGATGTGGCTTGTGTTCTGATATGGCAGGCATGGCTAAGAAGTCTTTTGATGTCCTGCTTTTAAGAGTTTGAATGAGGAGTGTGGATTTTTCTGGGTCAATTCTGCCCTCCCCCTTCTCAAAACAGCTTGCTGCCTTCCACTGAGCTTATCAAAGCGACATCCGAAAATGAAGATGATGAAACGTAATAAATGTAACGGATAAAACTTATCCCAGGCAGAGGCGTCAATGGGACTCTTGCCAAAAACAATGAAAACAGCGTCATTCCATCAACCCCGCCCCTTTTGTGTGACATCACAATGCATGTAAAAGAGGGGGCGGGGCTTGCATTGCAACAGGATAACCTTGCTTTGCTTCTCACGCCTCTGATCCCATTTTTCATAAAATCTTGATAGTAAAAATCCAAAGGAATTTCCGATGGCTTCTTGGCAAAATGTTCAGCTTGTTACCTGGCTGGGGGAGAGCAGATGGAAGGACAGGGCATATTGCTGGTGATAGGTACGGTGACCGTATGTCCTTTCTTTCAGAAAGCTGTCCTTTAGATTTATTCATTTTTCAAAAACTCACTTTTGTCCTTCATTTGGGTCATTTAACTTTTACTGTGCCAACGGTGCCACTTAATGCAGAGTCTGATTGCAGAAACCCTTTTTAATACTTGCTGCTTATAACTTTTTAGATCTTTGCATTAGAATAGGTGTTTTGGTGAAGTTTTTCTTGGTTTAACTCTTGATTTTTCCTTTGTAAAGCAAAGATATAAACATCAACAGTATTAACATTGTTTGTCCTTATGAACTTCTTTCAGATTTGCCCCTTTTTCAGGTTTCTCCTTTATTTTTTCTAAGAAAGTAATGGTCACCATAGTGATAGATAAGTTGTGTTAGGAAGGGAATTCCAACCGGAGTGGGCCATAACCAAATGTCCCGGCCCACAATTGATTGCCACCTTTGATCAGGCACTAGCGGAAAAACAGTGGGGTATCTGGCAGGTGTGCCAAACGCTGCAAAAAGATGGGCGTGGCCTGGATTGTGACACCACACCCACCATCTTGCAAACTGACCTCCCCTGCAGGTTGCCCATGATAGAAGATCTTGAGCCATGAAGCCACTGTATGTTATATGCAGAATGCAGCTTTCCTAAAATCGGTGCCCCCCAAATGTGTCAGATGCCCAACCAGCTGGTAACGGTGAGACTTGCAGTCCCCTCCCCCCCAAAACCTGGTGCAAAAATATTTTTAGTGGCTAATTCCCTCCAGCACAAATTGTAAATGGGAACTGTCTGTATTTACAAATATGAATTTGCCCCCCTCCCCTTTGAACCAGTTGGGGCTTTATCAGAAGATTTCCTGCATTGACAGCTGTAACTATCCCACATGGGTGATTGACTGTGAGGTGTTCGATTTGTCTTGGCTGCTCTTTTATGCCGTGTTATTTATTTATGTTCTTAATCATGGGTTGTGTTTTTGTCCTGCTTTTATTTTGTTTTAATTGTTAGCCATCCTGAGCCTCGTATATGAGATGGGTGGCCCTGTGAATTTATGAAATAAATAAAATAAATACAATCCCTCCAGCAGTTGCTTTCAGTCTTAAGATTTCAAGCATTCTTTTGGAAATCTCCCTGACTGTGGGTAAAAACTCATACAAGAGTTTGGGTTTCTGTAAGATCCCGTGAGATTTTAACATTCCCCTTTAAGATCTGCGCAGTCTGAGATTTGGACTGCTTTAATTTGTTTCTAAAAATGGTTTAGTGTTTGCAGATTTGGGGGGTTGATGAGCTTTGCTGGGGCTGCGGACCCTGTGTTGCTGATTAGGACCCTAATCGTTACACTACAGATGGGAAAGGCACATTTTTGGGATGGGGGGTTGAGAGCTACAAAGTAAATGGAACCATGTCACACCTGTAGGCAGAGCTGGTGTTCGAGGAACAAAACGTGTCTGTTTTTACCTTGTGGGCTTTGGTTTTCATCCTACTTAATCCATTTGCCGTCACAATCTGTGAGTTGGGTGGTCGTGTAAATTGATTAAATGAACGCCCAAATAAAGGAATAAAATGTGGACACCTCTGTTTTTTAAATCACGATAGGCTTGTTTTAAGGATTGCAGCACAGTTTTCAGAAAAATTGGGGTGGGGGGAGGGTGTCTGGTGGCTTTTTTCCTGACTAACGAATTTTATTAAAAAGCATAAGCTTCTGTGAGCTGCAGTTTACTTCTCCAGATGCATAGAGTGACTAGACCGATGTAGGATTAAAATTGGGGTGGGGGGCGGGTGGCAGAAGATAGGTTGGCTATGCAGATGTGGGCTACACATGAGACAGATTACAGATTTAAATTAGAATTTAAATCCTACCTCAGTCTAGCCACTCCGTGAGCTGTAGCTCACAAAAGCTTCTGCCTTTTAATAATAAAGGCAGAAATAATAATAAAATGCAATAAAGTTTGTTAGTTAGAAAAGGTGCTATTGGACTCCTGATTTTTTGGCCACCACAGGCTGAGATCGCTCTCCTCCAACAACGATGGCAGTTTTCATCTGTTTCTCACCAATAGATGGCAAGAACTGGGGCCTTCAACCCAGAACCAGGGTCAAAGGAAATTTTGAGGGCCTTAAAAAGGGAACTCGGGGTATCTGTTGCCAAGGATCTATGGTAACTCTCTCTGCCCTGCCCTGTCCTTGGTGGTCCTTAAGTAACCCTTACTCAATGTCCCAAAATTGAAGAATCCGTGTATAAATAAAGCCTTGCATTTATATGTGTTCTCAAAAAGCTGAGTTGGATTTGGATGGGAGACCACTAGGAAATCTCAGAAGTGTAAGCTAGTCTGGGAAGTAAGGGAAAAAGTCCTGAAGAAGGCCAAAGTCAGCCACAACCATGCTTCCAAGAGAAGTGTGCCCATCTCTCCACAAATTCATCTGGGATGTAGCCAAAGTATAGGGAGTTTCAACTTTTTAAATCTATTTAAGAGGCCTACTTTACAGGACAGATCTCTAAATGTGGCTTTAAGGACCTCTGCCAGATGGCAGCGCCTAGCCCATCTGGGCTGATCCTGAAACACTAACCAGGGTTGGGACTGGTTTGTGTTTGGATGGGAGACCAACAGTGGCAAACCACGTTTGTTGTCGAGGCCTTAAGAGAAACTCCCAACCAAGAAGAAAGAGATTAGATTGCAGAATTTTGGAAATGGGATATGTGTACCTTGGCCTTCATGGAGGTGTTCAGGTGGCTTCTCTCTTTCTGTTTGATCTTCTTTCCTACTGAGCCTCCGTTTAATGGGGAGGGAGGATGCTAATAGCTTACCTCACACTACAAAAATTCTGCAAAATTCCAGTTTCATTCCCAGGCTAAGGAAATCACATTTTGACTGAATGGCTGATAAGCAAACTACTTGGGTGGTGTCCATGAGTTCCCCAGGAGTCAACCTGAATGGAGACTGGATCTTTTTTAACCTGTTCCACCGATACCATCTCAAGAAATAGACTCATCCACATCGACATTCAATGCATCTTTTCCTAAACCCATTCATCCATTTCACTCCATTTCCACCCCAGTCGGGCTGATTCCAAAAATGAGGTGCCTCTGATAGATGACAAAACACCACTTTGCCCCCCTCCACCCTTTACCTGCTCAGAATTGAAGCATCACACAGGGACCACAGAGGGTATCTAGCCCAATGCCCTGCTGAGCGCAAGATCCAGTGAGAGGTGATTGTCCAGCCTCCTGCTTGAAGGCCTCTAGAGAAGGAGACTTCGCCACTTCACGTGGCAGCCTTTTCCACTGTCAATCAATCCAGTTTTCCTTTCATATTCTTACGGATCTAATGCTCGAATGTTCTAATCTAACGTTCACAGAATCGCCAAGTTGGAAGGGGTCTCAGAGGCCATCTGGCCCAACCCTGCTCTGCTCATTGCAAGATCAACTACTACAGCATCTCCAAGGCTCCATCCAGCCTCCTTTCCAAGACCTCCAGCAAAGGAGAATCCCCACTTCATGTGGCAGCCGGTTCCGCGGGCCAACAGCTCAGGAATCTCCTCCCCCAGAGCTTCCACCCCTAATTCTGCCCTGCCTGCCC